GGGGGCGGGGGAGGGGGGATAGAGAAAGGGGAGAGCCCAGGCACAGGCCTAGCACAGAGGTGCCTCGGACGCCCCTTCCTGGGGAGGGGAGGGGGAGTTATGAGGCTGGTTTGGCCCACATTCTTCCCCCCCCCGGAACCCCACCCCCTGAAGGAGCCGTGGCAAGCTCAGTGCAGGACGCTCGGACTAAGTCCCGTCCGCGCCGCCCGTGGGTGCCACTCCCGTCTCCCTGGCCTAGACAGTGGGCGCTCTCACCCTAACGGCTGGGGCTCAGGACAGGTTACTGTCCCTTAAAGGCACAGCCCCCCACGGTGAGGACTCCCCCTACCCCCCAACCCCGTGAAAGCGTCCAGGCTTCTCACCCCGCCTGTCGGCCTTGTTTCCAGGACCAGGCCCAAGGCCCGCAAGCAAGGCGTGAGCCCGGCGGACATGTACCGGTGGAAGCTCTCGTCACACGAGCCCTGCAGCGCCACCTGCACCACAGGTACCGTCCGGGCTGCGGGCTGCGGCTGCATCGCTGACCTGGGAGGTCGTCTCCCGTGACGGGTTGGGGTGCGCTGCTCACTGCGGACCGCGGGTAAGGGCGTGGGCCTCCTGGGCAGGATGCGTGCCCCCCAAGTGCTCCTCCTCGTTGTCATTCGTAGAGCAGACGTCCTTTTGGTTAAAAGGAAGACATCTGGGCGGTGAGGCGCTCACAGCAAACCTAGGAGGGGACCAGACCCACGTGGTCTAGGACCCAGGGCCGGGTTCAAGTTCCAGGGCCTCGGCTGGGGAGGAGGTAGGAGTGGGACTGAGACCCTTGGTGGCACCTGACAAGCGGGCACATGTAAGTGTTGAGCCGGGATTTGAACCCACATCTGTCTGCGCACTGGCTGGCCGCCCCCACACTGAGGCATGGGCCGCAGCCACCAGGGGCCGGGCTCCATCTGCGGCCAGCTCTGCCCCCTCCCCCGGGGAGCTGCGAGGTCAGAGCCAGCAGATGTGGCAGGGAGGCCCGAGTGCCACTTGACCCACACCTGGGACCGCAGAGTTGGGTTTGGAGAGCAGCTGGGTCCTGCCCGGGCCCTCCCCTCAGCCAATGCCCCTGCGCTCCGGCCAGCGAGGAGGACCAGGCCAGCAGCTGTGGTCCGCCTCCTGCGGCCGTGGTTGGCATCTCAGGACATGGGCCGGGGGAAGAGCTGGCGAGGTGGCTTGCAGGGTTCAGAGGGGACGCTGGTCCTTATGTGCGGCTCCTGGCTGGAATCTGGGGCCCTGCCTCCTGAGCAGGGCGGGGGGCACGCTGGTTGTCCCCTGACACCAGGAGGGCCAAGCCAGGCTTTTTTTTTTTTTAATCTTCACCCGAGGATCTTTTTCTATTGATTTTTAGAGAGAGTGGAAGAGAGAGGGAAAGACAGAGAGAAATATCAATATGAGAGAAACACATCGATGGGTTGCCTTCTGCACGAGCCCTGACCAGGGTCGGGCCTGGGAGGAGCTGCAACCGAGGTAGGTGCCCTTGACCGGAATCAAACCCAGGACCCTTCGGTCCGCAGGCCGACGCTCTATCCACTGAGCCACACCGGCCAGGGCACAGGCCAGGCTTTGTGGGGCCAGTGAGCACTTGAGATGCACTGTCTGGTCGACCCCTGGCAAATGCTTACCCTCTGGGAGCCTGCGCTCTACCGGCAGAGTGGGCCGCACACCTATCCAAGGGGGTCGGGGGGTGGATGTGACTCGGGGGGTCGGGTCCCTCGCCACCCCTCCCACACACTCTGCGCTTTGCGTCTGGCGCCCAGGACCGAGGCCGGCTCCTCCAAAGCCTCGTCTCACGGCACCGAGGCCGGGCCAGGTGCTGGGATGACGACCCTCCCGTGGCACATGCTGCCTGACTGTCTGTGGCGTGGGCGTGATGGATGCGCAGCAGGCCTCGCTGGGGCCTCCCAGGCTGGCCTCTGGGCAGTGAGGCGCATCTCCTGTCTCCGGCTCAGCCACAGGCGCTGCCTCCTTTTCCTTAGAGACGCTCTGCTCTCCGCGGGGGTGGGAACGTGGGCGAGCCAGATGGTCCTCTTCCTCTGAGTCCCAATGATTTCAAAAGGTTCCTCAGTCCCTCGCATCCCCAGGACCCAGGGGTGACGGGAGGGGAGACAGGGACCCCTAGCTCCATCCCCTCTGTTTCATGGTCCCCGATTTCAAGGCACGGGTCCCTGTCTAGGAAGGTTTGAGAGGCACTGTGCTCAAGACTGTGGCATGAAGAGGGAGTCCCCAAGATTGGTACTCTGTCCCGGCTTCTCGGGTATGCTCCCATTTTGGGGACGAGCAAGCTGAGGCCTGGGAAGTCTGACAGTATTCACCAGGGGAGACTGAGTTGGGACTCGAATTCCAGTCTCTCTTGTTGGAGACCTGCTGGGCCCCCACTGGACGAGTGAATGAATAATCGGGCACTGGGCCAGGGTTTGCAGCTCCCCAGGCCGGGACTCCCTGGGCCCTGGAGCTGATGTCTGAGCCCTGGAGCAGTCCCAGCGGCCCTGGCCAGGGAGCCACCCCCCCACCCCCCACAGAGCGGGCTGCAGGCTGAGCAGCCCAGCGCGGGCAGAGGGGCCAGTGCCTGCGGCCTGGCTGGTCCTCCACAGAAAGGAGAAAGAATCCCGGGTGGGCTGTTTGCCAGGCTGGTTCATTGGATCCTGGGCTGGGGCTTGGAGGCGGGAGTGCTGGCCCTCAGCGCGGAGGGAAGGGAGGGGGAGGGGCCGGGCTCTCAGGTATGGGCACATTGCCTCCTCCTGGGGGACTGGCCACCCAGAGGGAGGGGCTCCACTTCTCCATCATTCAGAA